TGGTAAGCCTGAGTGTAGCTCAGGGATACCACTTTTGGTACTGAAATTTTACCCCGAGCTACACTCAAGAATACCGCCAGAGAGGTTAACACTGCTTTAGGTGGAATTTGCTACATTCATCTTCCTTTCAGTCTGCACTCTGCAACTCTAGAAGGTATGAATATAGTATAGTCAATATCACATGCTTTTTCAAAGTAAAGCCGGCCATAGATCATAAAAAATTGAGAGGGGTTATAATCCTCCCTTATGTTAAGCAAAATGAAAAAAAAAAACAGTTTTGGTGCACAGAAAAAAGACACGTACAATTACTAAAACCAAATGAATGAAGTACTTGTTCTATTTACAGTATTTTTATCTCTTTTCCTCCATCTTTCTTCCCAGGGCATAAAGTAGTCTTTGAATTGAACCAGACGTAAAATGAATACCAGTGCTACTAAACTTCCTGTGCCTTTGTGGGAAGATTAGGACCCACTTTTTCTTGTGATAAGCCCCACCCCCTATCAGTCATCTTTTAAATACCAGAATTTCAATGGGCATTAGAGGCTTCTGGCACCTAAAAGTTGGATTTCATGACTTGTCACCTGGAAAGCTAAATCCTGAATTGGACAAAATTCATGGTTCTATGTAAAGCCTGAGCCCTGTGAGCCTGTAGAGCAATTTGGATCCTAGGCTCAGGCCTTGACTTCATTCCAAGTCATAATTAAGCTCTCCAGGTGCTAACTTTAATATTTTAAAACTCACTGAATTCATTGTTGAGAGACAGTAAGTTAATCTCTCCCAAATGTTATAGTCTGATTTACTTAACAACGTGGTTCACAGAAAAATATTGAGGTGCAAAATAATTAATCCACTGTCACTAATTCTTTGGTTTTTATTCTGCTATAATCAAGGCAATGAAAGTTAAAGAGGAACTACACTGCATCTAAGCAGCACAAACCAAAAACACTATTTAATTCATTCATAATATTCAAATCAAACTCCCCCATCCATCCATGTCTCCATGCTCTTTTTTGCAGAGAAATCACTTTGAAAAACACCCCTCTAGCATTTCTGGCCATAGCCATCTTAAGTAAGGGCAGATGAATGTACTTCCTGGAATCTGCAATCCATCTGCCATCTGCCTTAGCTGAAAAAGCCCATCCTTCCTGCTGAAGACTCCTGGGATGTATGACATCATTTAAGAAGGAATGAGGGGAGTGTATCAGCGCAATCACTGCTAAGAGTCCTTGGTAATGACATCATTTGCCTAGGTGTGAAAACCAGGAAGTAACTGGAAAAAAAATGTAAAATAAAAGTTTAAAACACGTAAATATAATATACTTTCCTATCTATTTACTAATGCTAGCAGCATAAGGATTGAAAATAGTCAATGCAGATTGAGAGAGTGAAGTTCAATTTTAATTTATGAATTATTAACATGTATTTCTGCAATTAGCATTATTATTATGTCCACAAGTGTGCTACCATAGGTACTGTATGAGCTGATCTTGTCAGTTTCACAAATTTGCACAGCTGACCATTTTTACAAGACTGGATGACCTGTAATCTTTTCTGCAAATTACTAAATCTGGATTCTGCTGTGTGGATTGTTCTAAACACTATGGTTATGCAGCACAGATTGTATATTCTCCAATGGTTTATCTTTTTCATATGCAATTTATGTTGGTTTCTGCATCAGCATACTGACTGCCCAGCCACTACATACTGCTCATTCTCTGCCCTATCACTACATACTGCTCATTGACCACCCTGCCACTACAGACTGCTCACTGACTGCCCAGTCACTAAATACTGTTCTCTGACTGCTATGCCACAACATACAACTCACTGACTGCCCTGCTACTGCAAACTGTTCACAGACCACCCTGCCACTACATGATGCTCACTGGCCTACCCTGCCATTATATACTGCTCACTGACTGCCCCATCCCTACATATTGCTCTGACCGCCCTGCCAATACATACTGCTTACTGACCCCCATGCCACTACATACTGCTAATTGACTGCCCTGTCACTACATAATGCTCACTGATTTCCCTGCCCCTACAGGCTACCCCACCTTGCCACTACATACTGCTTACTGACCACAATACCATTACATACTGTTCTGTTCACTAACTGCCTTGGCACTACATACTGCTCACTGACTTCCCTGGCACTATCCACTGATTACTGACTGCCACTACATACCATTCACTGACTGCCATGCCACTACGTATTGCTCACTGACCACCCTGCCACTACATAACTGCTCACTGACTTCACCGCCACCACATGCTGCTCTACCCTGCCACTGCACACTGCTCACTGACTGCCCTGCCACTACATACTGCTCACTCACTTCCTTGGCATCACCTACTACCCTAGCCTGCCACTATATAATGCTTACTGATCGCCTTGCCACTTCATACTCCTTACTAACTACCCTGCCACTACATACCACTCACTGACTGCCATGCCACTACATACCGCTCACTGATTTCCCTGCCCCTATAGGCTACCCTACCTTGCCACTACGTACTGCTTACTGACCACCCTGCCACTACTTACTACTTATTGACTACCCTGGCACTACATACTGCTCACTGGCTTCCCTGGCACTATCCACTGCTTAGTGACTATCCTGCCACTACATCCCATTTACTGACTGCCATGCCACTACACATTGCTCACTGACTGCTTTGCCACTACATACTACTCACTGACTGCCATGCCACTACATATTGCTCACTGACCACCCTGCCACTACATAACTGCTCACTGACTTCACTGCCACTACATGCTGCCCTACCCTGCCACTGCACACTGCTCAGTGACTGCTCTGCCACTACATACTGCTCACTGACTTTCTTGGTATCACCTACTACCCTAGCCTGCCACTATATAATGCTTACTGACCGCCTTGCCACTTCATACTGCTTACTAACCGCCTTGCCACTTCATACTGCTTACTGACTGCCCTGCCACTACATACCACTCACTGACTGCCATGCCACATACTACTCATTGATTTCCCTGCCCCTATAGGCTACCCTACCTTGCCACTGCGTACTGCTTTCTGACCACCCTGCCACTACATACTGCTCACTGACTACCTTGGCAATACATACTGCTCACTGACTTCCCTGGCACTATCCACTGCTTAGTGACTATCCTGCCAGTACATACCATTTACTGACTGCCATGCCACTACATATTGCTCACTGACTGCTATGCCACTACATACTACTCACTGACTGCCATGCCACTACATATTGCTCACTGACCACCCTGCCACTTCAGAACTGCTCATTGACTTCACCGCCACTACATGCTGCCTTACCCTGCCACTGCACACTGCTCACTGACTGCCCTGCCACTACATACTGCTCACTGACTTCCTTGGCACCACCTACTACCATAACCTATCACTATATAATGCTTACTGACTTCCCTGCTACTTCATATTGCTTACTGACTGCCCTGCCACTACATACCACTCACTGACTGCCATGCCACTACATACTGCTCATTAACTGACCTGCCACTACCTACTGCTCACTGACTGTCTCACAATACATACTGTTCACTGATCCCCCTGCTGGTACATACTGTTTACTGACTGCCCTGCCACTGCATACTGCTTACTGATTTCCCTCACTACTACATACTGCTCACAGACCACCCTGCTGCTACATACTACTCACTGATTGCCTTGCCACTGAATATTGCTAACTGATCGCTCTGCTGCCTGATACCATTCACTCTATAGCTCTGCACTGCCATTTCTTACTGCATACTTTTTTGTTTACTTTTGTATTTTTTATCTCCATAACTACAACTTTCTTATATATGCTTAATCAAGTATGGAATTAGGTAACGATATGCCTCTTGTAAAACCATGTCCATTTTAAATGAATGCTTCATCCCCAAATAAAGTAATTATACTCCTACAATGGCTTGGTGCCCCAGGTATTTTTTTAAAAATGTTGGCAACTATGACATTCTGTGTTATTTAGTCAGTTGTAGATTTTGACCTATCAACAAAGTAAACATACATAGGTATATAATGTAGAGCCTTGTACCTTTTTCCTCCATGAAAGATAAGGTTGATACCATATCTATATGCTGCTCACTCAAACATTCCTAGATAATCGAGTACTTTAACTTGATATTGCTGCTCAGAACAAGTTAATTCTTACAACTAGTTTGACATAGTATGCATAGTATCTTTACAACATCTAGGACTACAGTTATGATCTGCAAAGAATTGCTGCAGTACATGATTACCCAGATTATCACAGATTTTTATAACCCATAAATAGTTTTTTTAATTCTTAAAGCATATTTCTAGGCAAAACTTTTTTTAGTTTTGCATTGAGTGGGTAAAGGTTAGACCATATGGCAAATTTGTATTGCTGTCTGTGTCTCTACTGAAAGGTTGACCTTTCTTCTTTATCCAAAATCCAAAATGTTCTCCACAGAACATCAGGCAAGGGGAAATCTTCCAATGGTGTAACTTTTTTGGGGAAAATTCTAAGAGGGGAATTCCTCTAATTTTGAGACATTCCTTTTTGCATCTTTGGAAAATAAGTGAAGGTAATTTTCCCCAGTGGTACACCGACACCAAAAATAAACTGACAGTGGTTTTACTCACTCCCTACCCTATCCTAAACAAATAACCAAAATAGCTATACATGCACTTTAGATGAAATAATATGCTATTTTTGTTAAAAAATTGTTCACACGAGTGCAAAGACTGAACACTAACAAAACTGAGCTGCCCTGTACATGCTACTGGTTGCAGTTGTACGCAAACAACTCTGACTCCTGGACACAGAAATAACTAGAATTCTGTTACTGTACAGTCCTCTGTGCCCATGTGAATGAGCCCATAAAATAACCATTAAAACAGCTGAAGTCTTTGCTGCTCTATGGACATGTGGATCTAAAATGTATCTTAAATTTTAGTACTCCTACCAACTTACTGTTGACTAAAGTAAGATAATACAAATACCCATAGTGTTTTCCCAGGGGCGGACTGACCATTTGGAAACACAGGCACCGCCGAGGGCCCGGGGTCAGTAGGGGGCCCCATGAGATGTCCCTGGTGCCTTTTTCATAGGCTTTTTTGAGTTTGGGCAAGGACACAGGGGCTCCATGATCCCCTATTGCTGGGGGCCCCATGAGTTGTCAGTCCGCCCCTGGTGTTTCCATGCCATAACGAGGAACTGGAGCTGTGTGAATGAAAGACATTGGTTTGCTGCTTCTGCCTAAGCAATCAATCAGTGCCTCTGCCTTGCTGATCGAACTCATAACGTGGCTGTGACAAGGAAGCATTGGTTTACTGGTTTATGAAGGAAGGATGAACCCTAATAAAAAGTAAGTATTTCAGGGATGTAGGCATTGTTTCTTTAATGGAGTCACAAACGGAATGGATTACTAAATTTAAAGAATGTTTTTAATGCAAGTGGTCCCAGAAATTAAATTAAATTCTCAGTGCTCAATAAATTATTACTTTTCCAGCATCTGCATCAGCGGTGCTCAACCTGTGACCCTTGGACCCCTCTGCTGTGGCCCTCGACCTCAAACCAGCAAAGTGCATGCCCGGGGTCAGCAAGCCATTGATCACGATCTGGGCTTGCCAACCCGCCATCCCAGAGCATCAGAGTGCAGCGGAGGAAGAAGGCAGCCTCAGAGGGAGCAGGAGCCACATAAGCCAAATCTTCCTCTGTAGCGCCACTTTCTGTCTCAGTTTGATACCAAGTGCACTTTGCCTGGGACCTTTCTAGCAGCCTGAAGCCAGCAGAAGCTTGGACAGGAGAGGCAGCAAATACAAGAACCTTTCCTCTCTATTTCCTCCTGAATTTGCTGAAATCCGGCTTCTTATCTTCTCCCTCCTGCATTCAGTGGCTACAGAAGGAAAATGTTCATTATTCTATTCAAAATGAAAAATGTGAAATTCTGAACCATTTCATTTCATTTTGGCTCGCGACTGGCTACCAAATCACTTAAATGGCCCTCCTTCTTTAAGAGGTTGGGCACCCTTGATCTACATTATATTGTGTTCTTATTCTTTGGATATGGTAGTCATTCAAATGTTCCTCAGATTAATTAGGTCACCTGACAGCTTTACATACACCTCCTTGTGGTGTCATTAGCAGAACAAAACAGCTATGAAAAAGAAGCCTGTGAATTTGGTCTAGAAAAATTGTAGCATTCTACTTACTGTGGGGTTGTTTGTTGTACAGCAATAAAGGCCTCAAAGAAGGTTTGTGGGATGGTCCCATGCTGTTAAGCTGGCTGCTGTCCTTTCTATTCAAGACTTTTAGGTACCTGCATGTATATTCACCATATTTCCAGAGCACCCCAGTTGCCTGAAATGCTGGGTGAAACTGGAGCCTGTATGGTCACCATGTAGCCTCACCGTTTCCTGTTGCCTTCAGCATCTTATTGCGATGGGTGGCCTCAACTGCCAATATTTAGTAGGAAGGGATGAGAATAAATGGGAATTATGCAAACTGTGGTTGCAAGGAGTTTAAAAGCTGTAAGGTTTGTCTGATAAACTGGTGCTATAAGGCATTGCCCCGATACTGAGGAATCACATAACATGAACTGGAATGGATACAAAATGAAGTGGTATTCACATGTATGACCGTCTTTACTGTACTTTACTCTGATTCCAGTAAAAAAATATATAGCTTTGCTTTATAGTCAGTCAAACAGATGAAAAACACAAACTGGATATTCCATTATTTACTCATACTGTATATCCCTTCATCATATCTGCCAATCTATATTCTGAGTATTTACGTGTTTTGTTTAACTGTATCTTGGGAAATACAAACAACATCATTTTCTTACTAGTTCTTATTAGTGAGAAGAGAATTATTTTTATATTATACTCTATATACGGTTTAAAACTTTTTTTACAAAAAAAAAAAAGTGTAGATGGAGCTGGACTTTTTTGAAAGTGCACCTGAATTTTGAAGATGATTTTCTCCACAATAACTACAGTTACAGAGGTAACCGCGTTGAACATAGAGACATAAAAAAGCGATAGACGAAAAAGACCACATGGTCCATTGAGTCTGTTTTTTTTTTTATGTAAGGCTTTTGTATTTTTTGGTTTGTTTCTTTTTTTTTATTAACTTTTAACGTTTATATCTGAATATAGATTTATGTTTGTCCCAAGCATGTTTGAAGCCACTTAAGTTTACTCAAAGCATCAACTACCTTTTCAGTTGAATAATACTTTCTAAGATGGTTTTAAACTTTCCTCCTGTTAGTTTGATGTCATGTTCCCGACCTTGTTTTCATATTGAAAATACTGTCCTCTTGAACCTTATTCACCCCCTAGATGTATTTAAAGGTTTCAGTCATGTCCAGGGGCGGACTGACCATTTGGAAACTCGGGCACTGCCCGAGGGCCCGGGGTCAGTAGGGGGCCCCATGAGATGCCCCTGATACCTTTTTCATAGGCTTTTTTTTAGTTTGGGCAAGGACACATGATCCGCTATTGTCTGGGGGCCCCATGAGTTGTCAGTCCTCCCCTGGTCATGTCTCCCCTTTCCCTTCTTTCCTCTACTGTACATATTAAGTCCCGAAGTCTCTCCTGATATGTTTTATCCCTCAGACCTTTCACCATTTTTGTTACCTGTTCCTGGACTAGTTCCATCCAATAGATATTTTTTTGTGAGGTCTCCAGAAATAGACACAGTATTTTATATGAGGTTTCAGTAAAGTGCTTGTAATAGATTAGATTATGGAAATATTTAAATGTACATAGTCACAGGTTTACTTTAATGCCCATTTAAAACTACTTGTCCATCAAAGACTACCTTGTCCGCAGGGTTCCAATGCTGCTTTGTGATTTCACTGCAAAAGAACCATGTCTCCCTGTTAAAGGAAGTAGAAAATGATGGATCTACTGGCATCTGCACAACAGGTAATAAAGAATGTTATGGGTCAACTCAGAAGAAATATTATTGTGTTAATGTAAGGAAATATATCTTTAAACTGGCATCCATTTTTTAATTATTATTATTATACAGGATTTATATAGCGGCAACAGTTTGCTCAGCGCTTTACAATATAATGGGAGACAATACAGCAACAATACAGTTCAATACCAGAGGGTTCGGAGGGCCCTGCTTATATAATGCCTCCATCTTGAATATGTAACAGCTTTAGTTTCATTTCTCAGGAATTGCTTTCATTTCTCTGAAAACGGATGCACCTTATATGGTACCCCTCAGCAATTTGTAGTTTTCTACTCTTCATGTAACTTTACTGATGAGAGTAGAATGTTTATTGGTTATCCTGAGTTAGAAATGCCTGTTGAGTTTCTGTATATCATCTCTTCCTTTGTATTAAACTTTTAGAAATACTGCTTTTACACTTTGGTGTCTGGAGCTTTATTTCTTCAGGAGCTGGTGGTGGGATAAGCGAGGACAGGGCAGGCTAAAGACAGACAGAAATTGATCCTATCAGTTAATGGTAGTTATAAACTGCATTATTTATGTATTCCACTTTAACTAGCAAAGTGTTTTAAGAAAATATATTTTTACAAAAAACGAGTCTATGATTTCACAATCTGGGACACTGGCTGGCTGATGATGGCCTGGCCGCTTTCAATCACTCCCTTAGTGGCTTTCATTTTTTAGTTACGTAGTCTGGCTGAAAAAAGCAGTAAAAAAAAGTTGTAATTATACACCCACAGTTGTCAAGAGGAAAGAAAAAAAAAACAGCAAAGCATGATACAATTTGATACTGCAGGGGAAAAAAATATTTCCTGATCCCCCGACAGGCAATCAGATATTCTCTGGATCAACTTTACCAGTTATATTCTGTGTATCCAAGAAATAAACCAGGCCCTTTTTAAAGCAATCCACTGAGTTGGCCAGAACCAACTCTTGAGTTAGTCTATTCCACATTTTCACAGCTCTTACTATGAAGAAACCTTTCTGTATGTGGAGACTAAATTTCTTTTCCTGCAGACATAAAGAGTGCCCCCTTGTCCTCTGTGATAACCTCAAGTTGAATAACTCTACCCCGAGTTCACTATATGAACCACTGATGTATTTATACAGGTTGATCATATCCCCCCTTAATGTCCTCTTCTCAAGAGAGAATACATTCAGTTCCTCTAATCTTTCCTCATAGCTGAGCTCCTCCATGCCTTTTATCAGTTTGGTTGCCCTTCTCTGTACTTTCTCCAGTTCCCCAATGTTCTGTTTGTGAATTGGTGCCCAAAACTGAACTGCATATTCCAGATGAGGTGTTACTAATGATTTGTACAGGGGTAATATGATATCTCTCTCTCTGTAGTCTATACCTCTTTCAATACAAGAGAGGATTTTGCTCACTTTAGAAACCACAGCTTGGCATTGCATGCCATTATTAAGCTTGTGATCTACCTGAACCCCCAGATCCTTCTCCACCATTGATTCCCCCATTTGTACTCCCCCTAGTATGTATGATGTATGCATATTCTTAGCCCCCAAGTGCATAACCTTACTTTTATCAGCATCAAACCTCATTTGCCACATAGTTGCCCAATTAAACAGTGCATTGAGGTTGGCTTGTAAGTTGCAGACATCCTGTAAGAACGTTATTCCACTGCACAGCTTGGTGTCATCTGCAAAGACTGAAATGGGATTTTTAATCCCAGACCCTATATCATTTAAAAATATATTAAAAAGTAAGGGTCCCAACACTGAACCTTGGGGTACACCACTGACAACCCTAGACCGCCGTTCACAGTATGAATCATTAACCACTACTCTCTGAATACGATCTTTTAGCCAGTTTTCTATCCATTTATATTCAGATTTTTCCAAGCCCCTAGACTTTACCTTACACATTAGCCATGTGTCGGGAACTGTGTAAAACGTTTTTGTAAAATCCAAGTATACCACGTCCACAGACACCCCTCTGTCCAAGGTTTTGCTCACCTCCTCATAAAAAGAAATCAGATTTGTTTGACAACTTCTGTCTTTCATGAATCCATGCTGTCTGTTGCTTAAAATATTTTTTTCCAGCCAGAACTCATCTATGTGGTCTTTTATTTAACTCTCCAGTATCTTCCCAAATATAGATGTTAAACTAACAGATCTATAATTACTTGATAAAGATTTTGACCCCTTTTTAAATATCGGCACCACATTGACCTTACGCCAATCCAGTGGTACTATGCCAGTCATTAAATAATCCCTAAAAATTAGAAACAATGGCTTTGAAATGACAGAGCTCAATTCTTTAAGGACCCGTGGGTGTATGCCATCTGGTCCAGGTGCTTTATTCACCTTTATACTGTCTAAATAGTTCTGCATCATATCAATTGTGAGCCAATGTGGATCATCTGGGGCTGTGTCCATACCATGCTCATTATGGACAAGAGCTCCTCCATACTAATTTGTATACACAGAGCTGAAGAAGGTATTAAAGACATTGTCTTTCTCTTTGTCCCCAGTCACCCACTCTAGATTATTTTGTAAAGGGCCTACATGCTTGGACCAGGCCTTTTTACTATTAACCACTTGCGTACTGGGCACTTATACCCCCTTCCTGCCTAGGCCAATTTTCAGCTTTCTGCATTGTCGCACTTTGAATGACAATTGCGTGGTCATGCAACACTGTACCCATATGAAATTGTTATCATTTTTTTCCACACAAATAGAGATTTCTTTTGGTGGTATTTAACTGGCGCTGGGTGTTTTATTTTTTTGGGCTATAAACAAAAAAGAGCAAAAAATTTGAAAAAAAAATGATATTATAGTTTAGCAAACAGGTAATTTTTCTCTTTCACTGATATGCGTTGCTGAGGCTGCACTGATAGGCATCACTGATGGGCACTGATAGGTGGCACTGATAGGCAGCACTGATAGGCGGCACTGATGAGGCTGCACTGATATACGATGGACACTGACAGGCAGCACTGATGGGCAGCACTGATGGGTGGCACTGACTGATGGCACTGACTGGAGGCACTGCTGGGCACTGACTGATGGCACTGCTGGGCACTACTGGGTGACACTGCTGAGCAGCACTGCTGGGTGGCACTGATGGGGGGCACTGCTGGGCACTGGTGGGTGGCACTGCTGGGCACTGGTGGGTGGCAGTATTAGGCACTGATGGGCAGAGGTTGGTGGCACTGCTGGCACAGGTGGGTGGCACTGCTGGGCACTTGTGGGTGGCACTACTGGGCACAGGTGGGCGGCACTGGTGGGTGGCAATGCTGGGCACTGATCATCAGGGCCCTGATGATCGGTTGCCAATCTGTCCTCTGACAATTGCCAGTTATCGGCAGTACTTTCCTCACTCTGTGACAGCGCGAGGAACATGCAGCTGATAACTGGCAACTGCATTTACCTGTGATCTGCTGTGTCATTGGACTTAGCTGATCACATGGTAAACGGCTGCTGTGATTGGCCTTTTACCACACCACGCGATCAGCTGTGTCTGTAGGACACAGCGATCATGGAGATCACTGGGTGTGTGCCCCCTAGGGTGCGCAGGAGGGCGTGTTCTGGGAGGACGTCATATGACGCCCTCTAAGGACTGGACAACTGTGCTGTAGCTGTCATTCGGCTATAGCGCGGTTGGCAAGTGGTTAATATATTTGAAGAATTTTTATGGGTTTGCGCTGCTATCTTTTGCAATCCTTCCAATTTTCATGGATTACAAGGGCTCTCTGTAAATTAGGTTTGAATGTGGAGCAACTTGTATTATTATCCTGTTGCTAGATTCCTGTGTTTATTCAGCCTACATGTTTCCTTTAAGAATTAGCACTAAGGCTGTGGCTAAAACCACTCTTATAGAAATAAAGCTGCACAGGTGTCTAACGGTCTCCTACTTCCCCATAATTTCAATGGTAAATACTTCCATCAAAATAGGTATTAAAGTTCACTGTACATTGTAATGTCTTCCAAGTATGCAAGAATACAATGCTATTGCAATAATAAGTAAACATGACGACATTATAAGGCAATGCAAATCACTCCATATGGACACATTTTCCAATCATCTAGTTCCTCTACAAATCATTAACAGAAAATGGTTTCTTTGTATTCTGAATTGCCTCTGTACATTCTGTGGTGCTATATAGCAAATATTTTGGAAAGGGTTTGCTATGTCTGTACATTGAGTACAAAGCAATAGATACTCTTTGAAAATCATAAAGCTAATGATTGCACTCACTAGCAGCAACTAGGGCACAGTCGTCACACACTGACAGCCAATGTCCCTGGTTTGACCTCAACCTACACACGACCCGCTCTCAATCTGGTTACATGTCTAATCCAATCCCTGTGCCTCCTGCTGTAAGAATACTAACAGGGCAGGGAGGAGATATTGAGTTAAACATATGGAGAGATCAGAATATTATGTCCATTCATATCAGATAAGAGATGACGGCTATGGAGGCAGATGCAGATGCAGTTTTTTGAAAAGTTCATGAACATTGTCAAGTGCAAAGTTAATTACACTATGTTTTATTTCTAAATCTGTTATATATTAAAATACTCCCATCTAGGCTGGATCGTTTTGTCAGGAACTGGCAGAAATATGCAGCATAAAATGCTCATTTTGATGCACAATTATACACGATAATGCAGTTTTACAGTCCTG